AACAAAAAACGCTATCACGGTGAAATGCGAATAGGTGAAAAGCTACAAGGATTTTTTGATTTCGAGGTATACGACTAACAAACGGTCCCAAATATAGCTTGCCTTGACAACTTATGGGCGGGTAGAAGAAGTGAAGAAACTCAGTCATGCTCAACACTGAAGTACTAGACATGGCAATAAGCCATGATTTATTCACTACTTAGGCTCTCTCCAGGGTAGGCACTTGTGCACGTCCCAAATGTATTTTGCCCTACCACCACTTCGGGACAACGTACGGGCTGGTGCTGAGAAGGAGTGGCGGAAGAAACTCAATCACTTTTCCAAATAATAGATACAGAGCAAATCCCAACTAATATTATAAATGCGAAAGTAACTCTGTCTGTCTGTCTGTCTGTCTGTCTGTTACGCTTTCCCGCTTAAACCTCGCAACCGATTTTGATGAAATTTGGCATAGAGATAGTTTGAGTCCCGGGAAAGAACATAGGATAGTTTTTATCCCGGTTTTTGAAACAGGGACGCGCGCGATAAAGTTTTTCTGTGACAGACAAAATTCCACGCGGGCGAAGCCGCGGGCGGAAAGCTAGTAAAATAAATATTTCCTTTGAAGGCCTTAAAAATATGACACAGAAAAAGATTCTGCTTCATGTGGTGGTGATGAACATTTAAATCAAGACGGGTTTCTGACGTTTCTGGTTTGACATACCAATTAAAAGAGTCTGTTGAGTACAAGGTCTGCGAGTGAACTCACTCAGTTTTTAATGTTATCATAATGTTTGTATAGTGTACGTACAGACATTCATAATAATATAATTATTTTGGTTGTATACGAAAACAGTCCGATTTTCCGTCTTTTTTTTGTATTTCTAAATGATGTCGGAGTTTCTTGCGCTGCTTCTTCTCAGCACTGGCCCATTTATTGTCCCGAAGCAGTGGTGGTTAATACTGGGGCGTGTGAAAGTGCTTTTTAAAATCCTATTTGCAAAAATAAATAAGTTTTATGAGTTTATGATGGCCTTTGGCTAAATAAAACTAAAGGAGAAACGTCATAATTATTACGTATACCAAATTATCAAGGCTATGGGACTTCCGGATCAAAATGATGAATCGAATTACAGTTGAAAATCATTATTATCTTCGCTACATAACACTTATTTTAAATTATATTAAATTGGGCAAACAATCGCAAATTCTCATTTACAAGCATAATTATTATTACAATACATTATGTTACTAAGGCTGAGTTGCACCACCTAACTTTGACCGTAACTATGACGATAACCGGTGTTTTTTGTATGGAATTTGACAGATTTTTGACGTTTGCAAAGTTAAAGTAAGATGGTGCAACCCAGCCTTATTGTTGTAACGCCAAGTTCAAATAAAAGGCAAAGTACATAATACGATTCAAAATAATATGGTAAGATACGAGTTCATTGCTCCAAATATTAACTTTAACACTTCTATCGAGAAATAACAGGAGCTTCTAGAAAATAACATGGGCATAATAATGTCAATTAGCGATCAAGTAAAATGTCTATCAAGCCCAAGAACATTAGTTATCCAATAGGATGCAACGCGCGTGCTTATCGCCTGCGTTGATAAACAACACGTCATTGTGTAAATGTATTGATGCATTGCCAATAACTGTTTTCAACGGATTATTTGTTCCTGTTTAAATAAATTGATTTGCGGCAAAATTGTAAGCAAATTCAATCAAGGTTAAGTGAGTAAATGTGAAGTACAGGTAGTCTCGGAGGACAGCTAGTGGTTTAGGACATGCGATGAATCTGCAAAATATGATTGGTAACTTATACAAATGGAAAATTCCAGAACATCGCCTTTACCACTGCAAACATTGGACCAATAGCGCCAATCAAGAGCCAATGAAATCAGGATTTGATGACCAATTTGAACTTCAATTAAACCTTTACTGGTGATCACAACTTGAGTCGTTCGTAAGTGACCGTTCAATAAAAGCTTGGAACTTTAATTAATATGTATTCTCAAACTCGAAAGTGACTTTTACTTCGCACGCTTAAATCGCTGAACTAATTCTAATTAAACCCATGTTCGCAAATAATAATGATTTTATTTGATTAATTTTGAATTATTTAGACCCAGGTAAAAGCTTATTTATTGCAGTAACAGACCNAACAGACTGAATGAAAACTTTGATTACATAGCTTTTCTTATATGGATCAACGAAATATCTTTGTTGGGGATGAAAAAATTCATATTGATGATAATATGGACAAGATTAGCGATATCGACTTTCTGTCCGAAATCGAAATGAAGCGAGTTAAATAAATGAAAACTATAAATAAGATCCAACAAGGAAACTGTTTTTGACCCGGAACAGGCCGTACAAGGCAAACTATTAAGCTGTTGCTTAACAGAATATTAACAACTGTTCTGTTATTACCTACTTATTATCAGTAAACGAATACCCAGTAGTTAAGAGACTTCGGAAGTCCTGAGTTCTACTTCCAGATGGGTCATACAAATTGAAAGCTTTATTTAAATTTTTCGTAGTTACCTGACATTGAGTTTGTTGTCACTACAAGGGTTAAGTATAAACCACAAAATACATAGAATAAGAATAAGTATAATTGACTTGATTGTGTTAACAATAATAAGTATGCGTGATAATAAGTTGAAACCGGCCAAACCTATGCATTTCATAAATTTTAAGTAAATTGAATTAAATGTCTCTGCATTTGTGTGCATTTTGATTAGCGTTTGCCGTGTTATCGCCAGTTAGGTACATATTTTGTCTAGAATCGATACACAAAGGTCAGTTGGTTCATGGTTCAGAACTTCAGATAGCACTCGAGTGATGGAAGTAAGACTTAGCGGAAGCAATTGGAATTATGACGACAATAACATTTGAGAGTTGAGATCAGATAAACACATTATAAATGTAATTTCTTTCTAAAGCCTGGTCCGTGAGCACGTAAAATTTTGTCCAAAGACTCCAAGCTACCCATCCTTATCGTTCGCGCGTAATTATTTTGCTGTCGCGCGCGCTCGCACACTCATTGAACAAAATTCTACGTGCTCACGGATCAGGATTTAGTTAAGACACATTAATTAAATATAACAAATGTTTGCAAGTTCTTTCATAGTTAAGACGCAGGTTAAGAACCTGGACCAACAAATCAGGTTATTTGTGTTTTATTTTATATGCATACAGGTTTAAAGTTTATTACAGATACAAAATACATGTTGTGATCTTTTAAGATCAGAAAAGTGTATTTATTACCTCGAGTATTGAAAAGAAAATATTGCGTATAGGTACTACTACGTCCACTACTGATATACATTATTACTTTAATAACCTTGTTGGTGATCAAATAAATAAATGTATGAGGGATAATAAAGGTTCAATGATTTGCTATCCCGAGAATGTTTGTTTTTCCTCATTATTTATAGCTAAAAATAAGCTTATGTTTACAGGTAAAGGTGATGAGAGACGTATTAATATGCTTGCCAAGATTACCATTGTGTTGGTTCATAAAGGCCTACGGTGACTAATTACTCACTTAACAATGCATATCTTCACGCTTACTGCATTTTTTGCTTTCATACTTGGCTGCAGGAGGAACGGTAACTTTTTCGAAATATTGTTTGTACGAACGACAGTGCATCAAGCTAAAAGATGTATCTAAGCAGTTGTAGTTAGGTGCTACTTTGAAGCAAAATTAATATCAGTCTGGTATGCTATTGTTAGTGTCGACGACCTGATAAAGGTAGCTGGAACTGGCTGGAAGGCGCTAGATAAAGGCCGCTACCAACCGTAAGGTGTGGAAGTCATTAGGGGAGGCCTATGTTCAGCAGTGGACGTCCTGAGTGAAATGATGATGATGATGCTATTGTTCACTGTATGTCATGTTTTCTTGAAATTGGAGACGGACTTTCGAAATATTCAAAATTATAAGTGATATTGTGAGATTTCACATACAAATACAATGCGAAGTCATGAGTTTCATGATTTCCAAACACGTGTAAGTGCCTATGTAAACGCAGTTACTTTATTTGTTTCGTGTCACATTGCAACACAATCTCTACATCCGTTAATAAATTTCATCAATAAGTATTAAATCCTTTTGATAACGCGATAAGACGTCTTGATGCTCGATAACATGAACCAATACGAGGAAAATTTAGGTTATTAACAAACGTGCACTCGATTAATGAGTTCTAATTAACCAAACGACCTGACATCGTTAGGCGGCCATTATCTCATCGGGATTCATGTAATTGCGGCGATGGCGCCGTTATTACTTTACTATTATGAAACAATTTTCTGGAAGCGAAGTAGTTGTTATTATGTTTTATAATATTTCATAAGATCGACACTACATTTGAATTATATTTTGATAGTGACAAGGAAATCAGTTTATGGAAATTTCTGCGTTGGATAAGGACATTGCTGGTCGTTATGAAAATTGTTTCGTGTTTCGAAGGGTATGGTACGACATTTATGACACTTAAAAGACACGGATTTATTAAGATAACAATTTTTTTTCATAATCCTATCACGTATTCAGAAACCACTCATTTATATTTTACGAGACCTGTCTGACATTATACGGCTCTACGAAATACAGTTATATTTCCTACGCGTGTTATGCTGCTACTTTTTGAAACACAGTTGCTTAGGTATGCAATACGTATGACTCAAATGGAAATTGTTAATACGAATTCCTTCCACGTAGTGCGTTTAGAATAAATCTTAAAATGGGTAAAATCGCTGACGCCCAGTCCCTTGGGCGTTGGATTATACTCAGGCATTTTATGAAGTGTCATGTTGTTACCAAGTAAGTTGTAAAGGGAAAACAATGTGCTTATTTCTGATAACAAATAGATACAGAAGACACAAACAAAGGGCGTCCTTTGTTGTTGTTGTTGCCACTAAAAACTGGTAAACAAGGAAAATGAAAGGGCTACGCAAGGTACACTATTATGACCATAGTTGTTGAATTGCGAAATATTGTACTCACTGCTTTTTCTGCCTTCCTGCACGCGGTACGTCAGGTCTGTAAAGGCCAAGTCCACTGGAGGCCTCTTCGGCAAGTGCGTGAGGGTCTTGTGCTGGGCCGGGGTGATGGTCACCTTCAGGCTCCCCTTCCTGTCAGACATAATCGGCTTAGTTTCCACCGGGCCCGCGAGACTCAGTTCCTTATCCACTTTCATTTTGAAACACAATGGCTATTGTAATCAAACTGTCATTATACGTCACAAAGGACAAAGGCGCGAGATACGTGCGGCGCGCGCCACGTGCCGACACCGACTGCATCCATGAACGTCGGCCTCTGGGTTTGCGGGGCTAATAACAGGCCCTTTGCTTTCTTATCACTATCGCAATAGAGATCATTATCGCGTGCCGCCGGGCGCTTGTCCGCGTGTGACGTACGAGTGATTTAAGTTTTTGAACTTTGCGCCCGCGCACAGGAACTGTTTGCGATGCTACCAATTAAGTATAGTTAAGTTTATTACTTATTTTAATTCAATATGTATTTTTATTTAATTTTAATCCATTATTCAATGATTTCGTCTACAATGCACATAATTATTGCTTTTAATGGTAGGTACTTATAGTCTCATTTCGAAATTTAACAAACATCATTATCATTTACAATTTTACAAGAACATCTATGTATTATGTAAGTTTATGTCATACAACATGTTAATAACAATGTTATGAATAACTTAAAGATAATAATACCTACTTGCACGTAGCTTATTCATGCTAAGTATGTAAGTATTCAAAAGTAAAATAGAACAGTTTTATATTTTTTGACATATTGTATTATTTTAAATTTAATTTGATCAAATCCAAGTAGTACTTACTACTTTTAACAAAAAAACTATGTTACTAATTTATTTAAAAGTGAAATAAAGAAGAGCAAGTGAAAAAAAATCTACTAATTATAAAATACTGATAAGTTTCATATACTATACCTACAGATAACCAATTTTCTGAATAATGTTCTAAGCAAGTAATTAATCTTCATTCTTTATAGATTGCAACAGTAGGCAAAATGTTTATGAGCAATTGGAAATGAAATTGGAATTTATCTATATTAAGACAGTATGACACAGATGTTAGATGTAGCAGTATTTTTCTGGCCATAATAAACCATCAGCTTCAACATCTTTTTTCGTATTTTGTCTTAAATTTTCAATAAAAGGATAGCTTAATTGTGGGCTTAATATACACTTGCTCATTACAATTCTACAACTAACTTCATTGGAAGATTTGTAAATAAGGGCTGATCATTCATGTAATTTGCTTACTTAGTTTTGAATTGTTTTAGTGTTCACTTACCTACCCACATTAACTTATTTAAAAATGTTTTAGTAATAGAATGTGTTTCTTTAATTTGGCTTATATTCAAGTTGTATCTTCCTGCACATTTATGTACAATTTAATGCTGTTGAAACATTGTTAAACAAATAAAATAAACATAATACAGGTGCCAGTTATAACAACTCACTGCCAGAGCACTCTTTAGTTTTAAGTGCAGGCATTTGAGATCGGGGTCACCAGTCAGTAAATGTTGACTTGGAGAAATTGTAAACTAATTGAGGTCAAATGACTAAGGCAGAAAACTACAGAAAAACATGCTAGAACTCAAGTTACAATATGTTAACCTGAAAAGCAGTTATATACGCTTTGTTACTCAGGACACTGGTTGCTAAAGCTTGTTCACGATCATGTAACAATATATCCCTGATTACGCCTTCACAATGGAAGGGGTAACTTTCTAGAATAACCAAACAGAAATTAAAGTTGAACTCAATAAATACGAAATTTGTTAGGTTTTACTATCACGAAAACAGTAAATATGAGAACGAGGACATAATTTTACAATAACAAAGCGCAATCTTTATCTAAAATGTTGAGGTCATGAACTAAAAACTTGTTACGTTCATTACTTTATAACTTTTCCAAAGTGGCTTACCTCAAATTGTTGAGTATATACGTGTTATCCATTTCGCTTACTTCATGTGGGAATCACTATTAATTGAAAGAAATTCAATCACACAAACACAAATAATGAAAATAGATACAAACAAAAAAACACTGCGTTGCTGTTTCTTTCTACCTTCATTCATTTGACATTTTGATGATTTTGTCCTATGTATTACTTTTCTCTATGATTTTGACGACTGAGTTTAGTTGTTGTCGTTGTCACTCAGTTTGACAGCTGTCATCAGCTGGTTGATTTAGGTCTGTTGTCCACTATGTTTAACTAGAGAAAAATATGAAAAGCTATAAAATTACGAAATTGATTCATACAAAAAATATAAGCTCCTAAACCTATAATGATTTTACGATTAAATTATTTCTATCAACATAATTAAGGATTCAATTATAACAATTGCGGGCACCCAGCTTTAGTAAATACAATAGTTTTCATTTTTCATCATTATGTGTAAATATAAGTGGACTACAAGCTTTAAACTGTTGTTATTGCCAGTAAAATTAAAATCTACCATTTATGCATTTAGCAAATACCTGCGTATAGCCTGACCAGGAACATAAAAACCCTGGCATAGAGGCGCGTCAATGAGGATCAGTACTGTTGTAGAAAATTCAATAAAACTAGTATCTACGTTAATCTTTAAGACATAAGAAAGATATATCTATGTATAATAAGTATGTATTTACAAAAAAAAAGTATTTAAGTATGTTTATATCCGTTGTCTAGTACCCATAGTACAAGCTTCGCTTAGTTTGGGACTAGAAGCGCAGTGTGATATGTCTAAGGATATTTATATCTTTTTGAATTATCCAAATCGGACCATTACTTACGAAGATATTAAGTAATAAACATAGGCCGTTTTTGCCGCTAAAAGTCAACGTACGCAAGGCCGCGTGACGTCATTATATCCGAATCGAGCGCAGCCGGCGTACTAATGGGATGGAAAATATTTTTTTCCGGCTAAACTATCAGNCCACATTTTAATATTAGTTTGGTATTTGTACGTGAGTGCCAAGAGGGAAACAACTCGGGCGGATAATCATTTATGCAAATAATAACACGGGTTTTAAATACTTAATAATGTTAATGCCATTGGGAATGCAACTTTATCGTGAAATGTATACATATTTACAGCTAAAATATTTACGCGCCTTCCTTTTTCCTTCTGTACCTGTACTATTACTTATTCTGTGTTAATACACCATGCATCAACATCATGCATGACCATGGAGTGACATGATTTAATTATAAAAAGCGAATGAGCTGACTGAGTAAGAGTGGAAATTGAATATTAATGAAAAATCTAATCACCGAGCAAAAGTTTCAAAAAATTCTTTTAAATTCTTTATCTTCAGCATAACTGCTTCCAAATTATTTAAAATTAAGTATGAAATATGTGTTTTAATTTATGGTTTTATGGTTTTTGTAGAGCTAAAATAAAACTTATGAAATTGTTCTTAGTAATTAGAAGAAATTAAATTTTTTATATGGCAACATTTTTTTAACGTGTCCAAAATCTGCAATTCCCTGTNCTGCATTCACAGCTAAAAATCGAAATGATCCTCATTGCATTTGATAGTGCAACACTGAGTAAAGTCGTACATGTGTTAAATTAATAGGCTAAATTTATGTATCAGGATTCAGAATTACGGGCTAATTTGATATTTTCATAAATTAACGAAAAAATATGATTAAAGGTAACCTGATTTAAATAAATTAAATGAAACCATCAATCGAGCTAGTAGGATTTATTTTATTATTCATCAATAATCAAATTCAGAACTTGAATATTCAACTGCAATGTCTGCTCATGAACGCTTCAAACTCGGTACTTCTTTCCCAATTCCATAAAATTCAAAACTTAGAAAGTGTCAGTCAATTTAACAACCTTTGTCGGAAACATTATTCAATGAAAATATTGTCCGAACCCTTAGTATTTCTCTTCGACAAATACATTAACACATTGTGAACCACTTTTCTTTCACGACTATAAAAATATTTTAGCAATTTAATTCACAAAATCAATTGCACACATTTAAAATAAAGTTTGTTTACACTTGGACAACAATAGACTGACATGCAAGGTGAACATGTCAATGAAGTTTTCAGTTATTGTTGCCATTAAAAGAAATTAGTACCATTAGTTTTCCGCAACATGGCGAGGGTTTTCATGTTCCTGGTCAGGCTATAACATGAATTTCTCATTAATACACCATGCATGACCATGAGTGACATGATTTACATTATAAAAAGGGAATGAGCTGACTGAGTAAGAGTGGAAATTGAATATTAATGAAAAATCTAATCACCGAGCAAAAGTTTCAAAAAATTCTTTTAAATTCTTTATCTTCAGCATAACTGCTTCCAAATTATTTAAAATTAAGTATGAAATATGAGTTTTAATTTATAGTTTTGACTACAAGCTAGCTAGTACTAAAACTTAAAAAAATGTTCTAAGTAATTAGAAGAAATTAAAAATTTTATATGGCAACATTTTTTTGACATGTCCAAAATCTGCAATTCCAATGCTGTGATTTGAGATTGCCAACTAAATAAAAAAAGATAAAAACATATGTCAACGACGTTGAACGACGCACGTCACAAAATTCAACAAAAGATGTGGTAATTTTAACTATTTAATTTAACACGCCGTGAATAATGAAACAATAGGAAATTAGTACCGTGAGCCTTAATAATGGAAAGCATAACTGTGAGTAATTCAAAGGTCTAATCTAATAAAGTTCCCATGAAAGTTATTATGTATTGATCAAACATTGTTTTGGTAACACAACTTTCGTGTTTTCAGAATTTTTCTGTGTCTCTTATCAAGGGGTTCATAGACAGTTTGCGAGGAGTTACTGTTCTTCTGTATTTAGACAAGGAAATCAACGAGCGGGCTTTGAGGAGCTCGCCCCACATTGACGCAGACACAAAGAAACCGAAGCAAACTAAAGTGAAACAGTGAGTTCTTTGTTTATTGTACTTTGTAGACTCGTTATGCAATATCTGAGTACCGCATGGTATTTCTTTTTATTTATTCAAGTGGTCTCGCCTACAAGTAAAATTTTAATCTAATAATTGAGTTTAAAATCTACAGAATTTGCACTATTTTGTCATGTTTTTAGCTAACTGTATGAAAATAATGTCTTATAAATTAATAAAACTGTTATCTTACTGTTAAATATATTTGAACTATGATCTTGTTTAAAACTTGTTTTTATCATTCAAAAACATTGTTTTGATTTGTATTGTACTTTGTACAGCACATCACTGTATGATTATGATGCAAAATCACAGCTGCACTGCATAAAATGTGATGCCACAGT